TCCGGGTTGACCTCGATCCCTCTCTTCGTCACCATGTACCCCAGGAACTTCCCAGATTTCACCCCGAAAGAACACTTAGCTGGGTTCAGTTTCATGCCATACCTCCGCAACGTTAAGAACGTCTCCTTCAAGTCGTTCACGTGATCAGCCTCCACCCTACTCTTCACCAGCATGTCGTCGACATAAACCTCCATATTCCTCCCCAGCTGCTCCTTAAAGATCTTGTCGACCAGCCGCTGATACGTTGCCCCCGCATTCTTTAAACCAAAAGGCATCACCACATAACAATAGGTGCCTCTGCTCGTAACAAAACTCACCCTCTTCCTATCCTCTCTCGCTAGAGGGATTTGGTGATATCCTTGGGATGCGTCCATGAGACTAAGCAATTCGCAACCTGCGGTAGAGTCGACCAATTGGTCAATTCTAGGCAATGGGTACAGATCTTTCGGGCACGCCTTGTTTAAGTCACGAAAATCAATACACATCCTCCACTTCCCCCCAGATTTAGATACCATCACTGTGTTCGACAACCATTCAGGGAACTGGATCTCTTTAACATGACCCGCCTTCAGCAATTTCTCGACCTCCTGCTCGATCACTTTATCCATCTCCGCGCCATGGTGTCGTCTTTTTTGTTTTACTGGTCTCACTGTTAAGTCTATGTTCAAACGGTGTTCTATCACCTCCGCTTTTATCCCTGTCAATTCCTCAGCCGTATACGCAAAAACATCCGCGAACTCTCTGATCAACGCAATCAACCTCGATCTTACTGGCTCCTCTATCTCCTTGCCTATTCGGAATTTCCTCTCTTCGCACCCCTCTACCATCTGGACCTCCTCGATCTCCCCTCCTGGCTGCATCTCCACCTTTTCTTTCCCCTTGTCCGCTCTTTCCTTCTCTTCTCTCGACCTCGAGCCTCCAGGTCGGCTCGGTACTCCCTCCTCCATCTTCGCTCGCTTCCTCGAGAGTTGCTTATTGTTGCTCACCGTGGTCTGATAGCAACTCCTCGAGGTAAGCTGATCTCCAGCGACCTCACCAACGTTTTCCCCCACCGGATATTTTATCGTCATATGGTACGTTGACACGACCGCCTGGAAAGCGTTTAAGCTAGTCCTTCCCATGATAATGTTGTACGAGGACTCTGCTCCAACGACCACGAACCTTACCATTCGAACCTTCCTCGTCACCCCCTGCCCTAGGGCAACAGAGAGGCTTACTTCTCCCATCGGCATCACCTCGCCTCCGTTGAATCCATATAGGGCTGTGGTCACCGGCTTCAGGTCAAGGTTGAGCTCCTTATTTATCTGCACAAAACAATCATAGAACATCACATCAACCGAACTCCCCGTATCAATAAACACCCTCTTCACATCGAAACCCGCCACTTCCGCCGTTATCACCAGCGCATCATTGTGGGGCAACACTACTCCCTCGGCATCTTCTGCCCGAAAACTTATCTCCGGCATTCGAGCAGTGATCCCCACCTCCTCTCTCCTCCTCTTTATTGCTCGAACATGGCCTTTCCTCGCATTGTTCGAGTCCCCATCTGTTGGTCCCCCCGAGATCATGTAAATCGTTCCTCTCTTCACCGGGCCTTGAACTCCCTGGCCTCCTCGATCTTGACTTCCCCGTCTCCTCTTGACTCCTCGATCACCCCTTTCCTCTCGAGGATCACCATCTTCATCATCATCTCGATCACTCCGCTCCGCCGAATCCTCTCGACATTTCCCTTTATCCTTCCCCTTCGCCTTCCCTTCGCTCACGAACTCCTTCAGATACCCTGCCCTGATCAGGCGCTCGATCTCATCTTTGAGGTGTCTGCACTCCTCCGTCTTGTGCCCATAATCCTTATGGAAACGGCAATACTTGTTCGACCTGGGCTGTGTCGGCCCCTCACGCCTCGACCTCGGCCACGTCACATCCTTGTCCTCCATTTTCCTCTCAATGGCCACCAGTACCTCGCCCATCTTCGCATTAAGGGGCGTAAAGTGTTGGAACCGCTTTCCCCCCAATACTGGTCGATCCTTCCATCTGTCTTCTCGTCCTCGATCAGTCCTGCCACGCCCCTCTCTTCTAGGCGATCTCCGACCCGGTGATGCTCTTCGAGGCGAGCTTGCCCTCCCCTTCTTTGGCTCAGGCTTAGCCAAATCCTCCAACTTAGCAAACTCAGCCTCCGTTTCCTCCAAATTAATGTACTTCTTACACCTCTTCAATACGTCATCATACGTACGAGCAGGAGTTTTAGCCAAAGATGTACGACAAGGCCCCGCTCGCAAACTTCGTATCAACCCTCCAGCCTTCACCTCGTCCGAGGCCGTGGGGATCTCCAGACAGGTTTGATTGTATCGTGCGACATACTTACGCAATGATTCCTTCTCCCCTTGCCTCATAGCCATCAACGTCAGATACGTCTTTTCCTGTGCCACCGCACTCGCATACTGGGTTATCAGCTTTTCCGCGAAATCATCAAAGTCCTTGATCGATCCATGAGGGAGTTGCTGGAACCAATCGAGCGCGCCTCCCCTCAAGGTCGACAAGAATGCCCTGCAGCTAACCGAGTCAGAATAACCATGCAACACAGCCAAATTTTCAAACGCCCTTACATGCCTCGACGGGTCAGTGGTCCCATCGAACATTAAACTCATATCTCTGAAGTTTACAGGTAATGGTGCAGCCAATATATCCCTTGAGAACGGATGTCCTCGAGCACGTCTTTCAGGTCGACCATCCATCTTAGCCTGCAACTGCCTCACCTGCTCCGCGAGCCTCTCCATCTCACGGTCTCTTAGGCCTCCATCTCCTCCATAGCTCGACACGTCCTCATCCACCATCGTTGGCCCAGCAGCCACTCGCGAAAGGCTTTGAGTGACCTGCTGGACTGCCTGTGCCGCCGCGTTCGCCACCATCTGCTGCATCTCCTGCCTCGTCATCACCACCTGCTGGCCGAGACGCTGGTCCCCCGTCGGCAGCGGTGCCGCTCCTTGCACCGCCACTCCTCGCTGCAGCGTCGCGGCCAGATCTGGTTGCAGCGGCGCTGGGACCGCCACGCCTTGAGCTGGGCGGGTTTCTTGGGCCCGATTTGAACCCGCACCGGCCTCTGGTTGCACCGATGTGACTTCTACACCTTGAGGGACAGGCGTCGGAGTCACCGGTGTGAGTAAGGGTCCAGAGAAGCCCGGAGGTGGGCCTTCTCCAAACGGCCTCGTCATCGTCCACGCCTCATCGAACGATGCCTGCAAATCTCTCCTAGGAATTCCGTCCGCCATAGCTACCAAGCTGCAAAAATCTTAGCACACCACTTTTCGAACGAAAGTCCCACAGACGGCGCCAAATGGTAACGCAAAACACTCCCACCGGCTCGGAATCGGTTCGCCTCCTTCTCCCTCGCCGATAGAACGCCGCGCTCCTGCACAAAAACTCTCACACCGGAGGGATTTTCCGGTGAAGAGCCTCCGATGCTTAAGTCAGTATATCTTCGTTCAATTTTCCCAAGTAAGTAATGGATAAATCGTAAACCCTAAAAAAGACCCACTCCCTATATATATAGGAGTGGGATACCTGCCCTAAGAGCTGCCCGGCTATTTGGTGAGCTGTCCTGCCCGCGCTGCCCATCCGTACATACACAGTACGCGTATTGTCAGAAAAGTCAGGGACGTCAGAGGTGGTTACCGCCACTTTTACTCTGCACCACTGGGTTCTCGCCACGTGTCCCCTTTTTCGCTGAGGGGAAATATTCCTTTACATAGGCCGTTGGGATTCCTGAATATCACCCACGCGCCTACTCGCGTTCAGGTCACGCTCTCGACTGTCTCCTTCCCACTACGCGCTCGACATGGTCGAGCTCCCCTTCGCTAGGTCGATCCTCGACCAGCCCTGCCATTCTGCTCGATCTTTTCTGCTCTGGTCGATCATCTTTTAGCCCATGCGGTTTTCTTCCTACTCATGCCGGTTTGACCGTCGTGATAAGCCGGTCTGTCCTTTTAGTGATATGATATCCCATATCAGGTTATATGATGATCTAACGGTTACAAATCCCGGCGGAATGGTTCCGTAACGGGATTGTAGCATTTCCCCGAACAACAACTATACTCAATATCTCAATTTTTTGACTTAAACATAAAAAAAATAAAAAAGAAAATCATTAACACCCTATAAATATTAAATATATTAGCCATCATATGCCCCTTCTTCCTCGTAACTAGGGCTGAGCATGAGACTCGAAAAATTTCGAACCGTTCTGAAAACTGAACTAAAATCACTCCGAACGGAAAAATATCCGTTGACTGTTTGACTTTCTCCGAACCGAACCGAACTGAAAAAATAATTGGTACGGTTCTGGATATTTCATAAATATCCGTACCGAGAACGGAACCGAACCGAACCGTCACACAGCGTACCGAACCGAAGAACCAAAATTAAGAACTGAATTGTAAAAATAGATGCGTGTTATTAATATATTTTATGTCAACTTTGATCCTATATAATTTGAGAATTTTTTAAATACAAATAAAATATAGTAATAACAATCAGGTTTCACTTATATTTCATGTTTAGTAATACTTTATCTATAATTGAATTTCTCCAGTTTGTTTAAAGAGTTAAAAAAAATAGTTAAGTTTTACTTAAAGTTGTCGATGTTTAGCATTAGTTTATCTTATAACTAACATGGTATGGAAGGTTAAATAAATATTATTTTAATATAAAATTGTATTATATTTTATTTGAATTTTAAATTTTCAATGTTAGTTGAATTTAGTCTTAACTAAAATTTAAGGTTACTTCTAAAGTTAATTTAAAAATAAAATCTTTAATATGATGAAATATTGATAAATGTTGAATTTACAAAAAAATATAAAAAATAAAATATAACTAAATAGTTATTAAAAAAATTAAAAAATAATAAGAAATCTCGAATATCCGAAACAAAGTAAGACAATCTCAGTACCGACCCATTCTCATCCCTCGCCACTCCCTACTTCAAAGGAAAGGAGAAAACAAAAATGGCGGATAGTGAAACCAACGCAGGGAAATCAGCCAAATTCGTAGATTTCTTAAGCTCCCTGCCACAAGAGATCAAGGCAGAGATTCTATGTCGACTGCCCTTGGACACGTTGGCTCAATCCAGAGCCGTTTGTCGGGCGTGGAACTTGTCTCACGGCGACCCGTCTCTCTTCGATATGCTCATTTCCTGCTAAATTCGCTCTCAATCGGACATGGGTTTTTCTGGGCTATGGCCTATTCCACAGTTCCGTATTCTTCGTCGAACTTTACGACGATGCCGGCCAGGAAGAAGACAATAAGGCGCACTTCATGATTCGAGAGATCGATTTGCCCTACGATGATTTAACTTTAAGCTTCAGCTTTGGGATCGTCGGCTCTTGCAACGGCTTTATGTGCTTATCGTCCTATCCCCTCCAAAGAATCTACCTTTACAATATCTTTACAAAGACCTTCAAATTGCTGCCAAAGAATGATATGATCGGTGAGGTGGATTTTCGAGATGAATCCTACAAATCTGTGTTTGTGTTCGGATACAATCCGTCCGCCCGGGACTATACTGTGGTGAGTGTGGAATATAAGAAAATTTCTGAAAAGGAGGAGAAAACAAATGCGTTTGTGTATACTTCAAATAGTAACACATTGAAAAGGGCCAAGAATGTGCCGGTCCATAGGTTTCGAGCAACATTCCGGAGAGGGGTTTTGGCGGGCGGGAAGCTGCACTGGTTGAGGGACGATAATTCGGGCATTGTTTCTTTCGACTTGGCGGACAATTTTTTCCGGGAGGTCGAGATGGATTTGCCCACGATAGTTAAAAACTCGGTCCATCCGCTGTCTGAGTGGCATTTTCTCCAAATTGCAGTTTTAGGGGGATACCTGTCGCTTGCGGTGGACGATGGCTTCCAGATTGTGATTTGGGGTATGAGAGAGTATGGGGTGAAGGCGTCGTGGGAGAGGATGTATACTCTCGGACAGTCGTTTTACGAGGAGTATTCTATTTTCGAGGACAAGAATTCTATTCGTGTGTTGGGTCTCAGGAAAAATGGTGATATTCTTCTGGCAATCCAACTTGAGGGGTTGGTTAGCTATAATCCACGCGATGGAGCGGTCAGGTTTGTTTTTGGAGTTGATGGGTTTAATGTAGTGGAAGATTTTGTTTGTGTTAGTGATCTTATAACTCCAAGCGCCTTGTGCTTTTGACTGTTCTATTGAAGTCGGTTTGTTGTGTGGATCAGTCGATATATTAGAATTGTTCTATTGAAGTCGGTTGGTTGGTTGTGTCGATGATTTTGTAGATCAATATATTAGAACAATTCATCACTTTTATCTCGCGTCAATTGAGCAATTCTAAGTTGATTGTTTTATTATAGTTGAAACATGGTTGTATGTAGCTGCTGCAAACAATTTGTCAGTCGTTATGAATCACTTTTGTGCCTTGATGCTGATGATTCTGGTAGCTGAAGTGAAGTGAAAACAGGGGATCTTGTTTACTTTAAAATGGTTATATCTTGAATATCGAATTAAGGTGTTGTATTCACCATAAATATTTGCTGACCTATTTATGGTGAATACAACACCTTAATTTAAGGGGTTTAAATTTTTTCCAGAAGAAAAAAGGTAGAAATTTTCAGTGTTGATATATGTAGCATATGAACTCAAAGCTTCAACTTAACTGAGGATTAATGGATTATTGAAGTGTGTATGAAACAAAGAACAGAACAAGAGGTGTTCCTCAATGTTGGACTAGTGAGCCACCAGTTAGTCATTATTTGAAGTTTTTTAGGGTACCATTGCTTGGTGCAGGAAAACTTAAAGCCCCATCAGAAGTATTGTATGCCATTGCAATACAGTTCAAGGGGTATTTTTTGAGTATTAAAACACGATGAGTGCTTGACTCTACTAATCCGTTGGATACTGCCTAATCTGTCATCCTCCGAGTGCTTCTCGAGAAGGAAACATTTTTCTTGAGTTCTTTTCAGAGAACATCAACACACACACATTCACTTGACTCGAACTGAGTTACTCTCATTCACCTTGATACCCGTAAGAAAAACCTTTATGCCTTTGATATATGTTGTGTATAAGATTAGTATTTAAGATTATTGCAAATAGGTTAAAAAGGGTGTTACATTATTGTATTGTATTAAGTATTAATCAATGTGCTTTCATCTTTGGCAGACAAGACAAGTCATTAATAATAATATTGTGATTGCTAATGAGTGCATCAACCAAGAAGTCTTATAAAAGTAAAGAGCCAAGTTCTAACTCTCAAACTTGATATGGCTAAAGCTTATGAAAGAGTGGAGTAGATTTTGCTTGCTATACTTAGAAAGATGAGTTTTTGTGAGATTTTTGTCTTGGATTTGGGCTTAATGGTACAACAGTAGTGTATGTTACCTTTTTATAACCCTTTCTGAATCATTTTCTAATTTTTTTATTAATCAAGNTATTATTCAATCTTATTGTCAAGCCTCTAGGCAGCTTGTAATTTTGATAAGACAACTACTTTCTTTAGTAGAAACATTCAACCTACAACACTTTATAAAAAAAAAAAATGCTCTATTCTCCACGGAGTCAAATAATAACTTAGCTCATGGTAATTAGGTCTCCCCATGGGCATTGATAAGGAAATAAGAGATATTTTCAAATTTGTTTATGAGGTAGTGAGTAAAATGTAACGAGTTGGAAAAACAATTTTTTAAGTGTTGCTGGAAAATAAGTGTTGATGAAAGCAATGATTAATATTTTACCTATTTATGATGTCTTGTTTCAAACTACCTATTGGAGTGGTAAAAGAAATATGTATAGTGGTTTCTAAATTTGGTGGGGGAGTCAATTAGAAGGGGCTAACAAAATTCATTGGCTAAATTGGAGAAAATTGGCTTTCCTTAAAGACTGGGATGGATGAAGACCTTCTCCAACCGAATCCCAAAACGCAAAAATGCAGTAAAAGGTGTCTAACCGAACTACAAACTCAAACTCAAAATGAGTTTTTGCCCATTTTCTCTTTCATCAAAACGCATATATGCGTTTTTCTTGTAGCAAACGCATTTTCTTTTTTCATCTATCAAATTAGTCCTTCATTTTATCAAAATCTATCTTTTGTATTAAATTTATTTTCTCCTCTTATATATATATAAAATAAGTTGTACATATCCAAATCAAATGACAAGATAGTTTAATGATTTGGAACCATGTTTGGATTTTATTCTATATATTACTGTATTTATATTATTTTTATAATACTCTATATATAAATAAAATAGGTATCGTACATTGAAATAATTTTCATATAAGCACACTATTCCTAGTTCCAATATTGTCAATTGAATTTTATGTACATATGGATTTTTCAAACATACTTAGACTATGATAGGGACATTGGTAAACCGATTACTTATTAAATATGTGATGACATTATGACTTATGAGTCACCTAATATTATTAATATATGTATTATAACCTTAAAAAGTTAAAATAAATAAAATAATAACAATAAAAAAATTACAAAATTACTAAGGGAAATTGTATACTTATTTAAAAATAATATAAATTGAAATTATATATCTTTCTAAATTATTTACATAAAAATAAGAAAGGTAAAGTTGTATAACATGCACATATGTAAAAACATTAAAATAACAATAAATATCAAAAAATAAAAAAAAAAACTTAATGACTATTTATTTATCCGATTTTATTATGTATATGATTATAACTTTATAATTAGTTTATTACATAAAGTCCAAATTCAATTGAAAATAATAGTATGGTTTAATTTGTAAAGTTGAAAAATATGTGGGTAGTATTGAAAAGTTATAAAAGTTTATGTAAAAGAGAATATTCCAAGAATATTCTTTTAGGTTGGAGAATTGGTTTTTCGGTTGGAGATGAATTACTGCAAAATGGGATAGTTACTGCAAAATGGGTTTGAATATGGAGTATTCAGTTGGAGATGACCTAAGTATTAAAGATTTTAAAATATTCAACAAAGCCCTCATAGTTAAGTAATTGTGGAGAATTATTACTTGTTCTAATCTTCTTATGAGTAGAGTCATGAAAATAAAGTACTTCAGAAAACAAAATCTATTTAAAATGGGGAGTAAAGCAACAGATTCGTGGCTTTGGAAATGCTGGCGGGGGCTAGAGATACTTTAAAAAAGGGGGTGAGATGGCATATTGGAGATGGAATGAGTATAAAAATCTGGATTCTCCCTGGCTTCATAGGGATCATAATTTCAGACCAACAAAAGGTAGAGATACAATTGAAGGCCGACTTGGATTAAGGACGTGTTGGATGAATGATGAAAATCGTGCATAGTGGACTTGTTGTGTAAAGAAATGCGCACTAACGACCTTGCTTCTACACGATAATTTGTGATAAAACTCGCACTATGGCCTAGTTCTAACTCGAAGAAGTTGTGCTCAAGACGAGTTTCTTGATTTCTTGTTACTTGAATGGTGAAAATCGAATGAACATGACATGGGTATTTAAAAAACAAAGACTAATCCTATATAGACTTGTATTCTAATCCTAAGGAAATAAATAATTAGGTACCTAACAAACTAGGAATAAACTAACTAGGAAATATAATATAATAAATCATCTAGAATCAACCAAGATCTCTAGAAGATTCTCAGCTACTTGTTGCGCAAGATACACCCGATGTGTGCCTCCCGCGTGTGAGAGACCCAGGTCGCCCTAGCGCGGTTCCGCACCCTCGCGTGTCTCAAAGAAATCCTCGGCCACTGCCCGTCTATGTGCACGTCTCCTTCACTGCTAGCTTGCTCCTTGCGCACCAAGCATTGCTAGCCAGTTGGCGCCCGAAGGGCTCGACCCGTAGCGGGATGATCACACCGCCTTGCCCACGTGATCCGACACCTCGCATGTATGTTGCCCAGTCTCGCCCAGCTTGCACCACAAATTCTCACGCGGTCTTCTCAGGTTGTCTCGTCGATGGTCACACGGTCTCACGCGTGCGCCTCCCAAACGTGCGTCGCGCGGATGGCTTTCCAGTTGCACGTTGTCTCGCGATGTCTTGACGGTTCTCTCGGCCAGTCACTAAGGTGTGGCCTGTTTGTAGTTTTTAGCCAAGTACGATCGAAGGATCTCACTCGGGTCGTCTTCTAAAAGGAAGGTTGTTCGGAGCTTCGTTCATTATCTAGTCGTCAATTCACAAAACCGAAAATAAGGTCCTCAACATACTACTCGCTTTATTGTGGGATGATTTGAACTACATTAAGCTAAACATGGTTACGGAAAAACATGAAAAAATTAAATCGATGCATTCGAATTTTAAATATTTGCACATGATTTTTCCTTGTAAAAGTTGCACACGATTTTGAAATTGATTTGAATTTTTTTCATAAATAATTGGATAAGGTTTGACTTTAAATATAAAAAATGAAATGATCTTGTTACAAAAAATGTGGATACGTTTTTTGAATGTCGAAATCTCACTTTTGTTTTAAAATAAAAATTGGACGTGGTTTTACTCAATTTGCACATATTGTTTGAAATTTATATAATATTGAAAACTTCCTTAGAGCACCCTCGATGCTTTGGGTTCAATCCCAAAAATTATATGTCACCTAAGAAATAGACTCAGTCTAACAAAATATATTTTTCAATACAAATAAAAATAGACTGGGTCTTGCTGATGTTGCAGCTAAAAAAAGAGACTCGGTCTCCTCTTAAGTCTATTTTAGACCCAAGTATAGACCTAGTCTCTTTGCATTGGGGTGAATTTTGTTAATTTTACATAGTTTTATCCATGTCATCCAAGACTTGGGATTATTTGCATGCCACATAGACAAGACTAGACTCAATGCATTGTAGATGCTCTTGTATACAACATTCTTAGTTTGATTCTTTAGAACGTAAAATACTACATGGGTGTTCAAATTTTATCTAAAATTACGTATTATTAATTATTAGTTAAAAAATTAAGAGATCTTATTTATTAAACAAAAGTATAGTAGAAAAAAGTAGAGATTTTTAGCGATTTTCATGCTTTTTTTAATCTAATTCAAAATTTTAATTAATAAAAATTTAAAATAATCATTAATTTTCAATAAAAATGAAAGGGAATTTTTTCCTACCAATACACCAATAATTTTAACAAACAAATTGATCCAGTTTGTTAAAACAAAATGAAAAGAATCATCAATGTTTCTTAGAAATACAACATAATTTTCCTAACATTACACCGATTTTTTTACAAAACAATTTGAATTGAAATTAATCTAATAAAAAATCAGAATATTTGCTAAGATTTATGCAACTGTTTTTTTCCTAGAAAAATTGATATGAACTCAACAAAAGAATTTATATGAATTTATCAAAATCTCGGCAAAACATGTATTGGCATCCGAGCTGAGTCATAAGGAACCCACCGGCCAACAAAATGCCAGCAAGGCATTGAACAAAGGTGGTCCTGAAACCAGATCGACATCAGCATAATAGAAAGACCGAGATGGACAGAAAATAAAGGTGCCGAGGATAGCAAGAGGAATGGGCCCGAGGATCGGCATTTCTAGGGCCGTAGGCCGAGGTCGACCTCCATGAGAGAGACTCAGGAAGATCGCAGGGATTGGAAGTCTAAGGTAGTTCATGTTACGGTAATAATCCGACTTGGTGATTCGACGAGACCGGTTCTTGGGACGCACGAGGGGCCCTGGAACAATTAAATATTGACACTTGTCAATTGATGATTGCGGATGGGACGGGCCTATCCTAGCCAGCAGTCCTAGCAAACATAGGTCTATAGAACGACCTGTCAGTATTAAATGCTCCCACATGTGCATTTAATGCCTGAGAGGCAATCATTAGCTAAAACCTCAAGTCTCATTTAATGTTTGTCAGGACGGTGTCAGACCCATCATTTTCGGTTACTGTACGAGGTGACGGGGTGAGCGATTCCAGATTAGTGTTACTATAAATAGGAAGACCCCCTCATTTATTAGGGGTTGTTGAACATTCTGCCAACTCTCTCTCTCTCTCTCTCTCTCTCTACATTTACTTTGTAATCAAATACTGTAAGTATTGAAGTACTCGTGAGAAGCCGACCTAATACCAAAAATGCCGACCTCACCAGAACGCAATAAAATCATTCCTTTCGTAAATCCTTTCTTATTTCCTTCATTTATTGATACTTAATATAAAATTAATCATTGACCGATTCCGATCATCAGCAACATGGTTAAGAAAAAACATAAGAACCCAAAACAATCGATGCATTCAAATTTTAAATAACTCCACATCATTTTTCCTTGTAAAAGTTGCACACGATTTTGAAATTGATTTGAATTTTTTCCTAAATAATTGGATAATGTTTGACTTTAAATATAAAAAATGAACAGATTTTGTTACCAAAAAATGTGGATATGATTTTAAATGTATATCCCGTCCAAATCTTATTTTTTTTTTTAAAAAATAAAAATTGTACGTGGTTTATCCAATTTGCACACATTCTTTAAAAGAAAAAAATTATTCAAAATGATTGAAAGAATTTATTATGAACTATACCACTATTTGGTTCCTAATTTTGTATCCAAGTTGCACTGTTTTTAAATTAATTTGTATTGAATTTGTTTTCATAAATAATTAGCACATTTTTGGCATAATAATCCTAAATTTGTTTGATAGAAGGAATGGGATTCAGATTTTGACATGAGAATCTCCAAATTTATTATATAAAAAAAAAAGAATTTAGATTTTGTTACTAAACATTTACATGTGTTTTTTTGAAATTTCTACTAATAATAAGTCAACTCATTTATTTCTTGTCATCAAAATTATTAAAATTGATTTAACTTTTTATATTAGTATATAGATTAGTAGATGTTTAGGAGGCATGGCTTAATTGTTTATAAATTAATTTACTCACATTTATTTTATACTCAAAATTTAACTCAATTTAACCCAATCTCACTATTCTTAATATTATTCATATAATTAAATAATACAAATTAATCATTCTTATACATCACATCAACTTTAATTCACTATTTATCCACTCACATAATTTTAACTACCTATCATTTTTCAATCATTTATCTTCTACTTTTACATCAAATCAATATTAATTATTTTATTTTAAATATTATTTTAATATTTAAAATAATAGTTTTAAATACTATTCAATATTATAATAGTTTTAAATCAATAATAGTTTTAAAATAATTAGTTTTAAAATAATTAGTTTTATAATAATAGTTTTAAAATAATTAGTTTAAAATAAATATTAGTTTTATAATAATTAGTTTTAAATACTATTCAATATTATTTTATACATCAATATTATTTTAATCAAGCCCTAAGGAAAGAAAACCTACTTCAACAGGCGAATAATAGTTTTCCCTATAAAATATTAGCCGCCGTATACCCCTTCTTCCTCACAAGCCTCCCCACTCTACATCAAGAAAAGGAAGAAACAAAAATGGCGGATAATGAAATAAACGCAGAGAAATCAGCCAAATTCGACTATTTCTTAGGCCCCCTGCCAGAAGAGATGAAGATCGAGATTCTATCTCGAATGCCCTTAAAGTCGGTGGCTCAATCCAGAGCCGTTTGTCGGGCGTGGAACTTGACTCACGGCGACCCGTCTCTCCTCGATATGCTCATTTCCTGCAACTTCGCTCTTAATCGGACATGGGTTTTTCTGAGCTTTGCTGACCGTATCCACACGTCCGTAGACTTTATCGAATTTTCCGACGATGCCGGCCAGGGAGAAAACGATAACGCGGACCACAAGATTCGGGTGATCGATTTGCCCTTTTCCGATGATTTCAGCCCCAGCAGCTTTGGGATCGTCGGCTCTTGCAACGGCCTTCTGTGCTTAGCCGATTCGTCCTATCCCCGCCCAAGAATCTACCTTTGCAATCCCTTTACAAAGACCTTCAAATTGCTGCCAAATAATTATCTGATCAGTAAGGTGGATTGTCGAGATGAATCCTACAAATCCGTGTTTGGGTTCGGATACAATCCTTCCGCCCGGGACTATACTGTGGTGAGTGTGGATTATGTGAAAATTTCTGAACAGGAGGAGAAAACGAATGCGTATGTGTATACTTTCAAGAGTAACACATGGAAAAGGGCCAACAATGTGCCGGTTCATAGGTTTGGAGCAACGTTCGCGGGAGGGGTTTTGGCGTGCGGGAGGCTGCACTGGTTTAGGAACGATAAGTCGGGCATTGTTTCGTTCGACTTGGCGGACAATTTTTTCCGGGAGGTCGAAATGGATTTGCCCACGATAGTAAAAAATTCGGTCCATCCGCAGTCTAGGTGGCATTGGCTCAACATTGCAGTGTTAGGAGGATACCTGTCGCTTGCGGTGGATGATGGCTTCCAGATAGTGATATGGGGCATGAGAGAGTATGGGGTGAAGGAGTCTTGGGAGAGGATGTATACTCTCGGACAGTCGTTTTACGAGGAGTATTCTTTTGTTGGGGGCTCGAATTCTATTCGTGTGTTGGGTCTTAGGAAAAATGGGGATATTCTTCTGGCAATCCTCTTTCTCGGGTTGGTTAGCTATAATCCACGCGATGGGGCGGTCGGGTTTGTTTATGGAGGTGATGGGTTTGTATTTGAGGAAGATTGTGTTCGTGTTAGTGATCTTATTACTCCAAGCGCCTTGTGCTTTTGACTGTTCCATTGAAGTCGGTTGGTTGTGTCTTTGATTTCGTAAGTCAGTATATTAGAACAATCTATCACTTTTATCTCGCGTTAATTGAGCAATTCTAACTTGTTCGTTTTATTATAGTTGAAACATGAATATTAGAACAATTTATCACTTTTATCTCGCATCAATTTAGCAATTCTAAGTTGTTCGTTTTATTATAGTTGAAACATGGATATCTTGAATATCCAATGAGAATCAAGTATTTTTAATGATAATATCAGGCCTAGGTAGACTCACATCTAGCAGTCGGCATATTTGATGCTATTATTTCTGTGAACTTTCTTCTCCAGTTTAGAATATTCTTTCTGGTGATGCATGTGTAAACACTGTATTTGGTTATCTTGGAACACTAGTATTGGTGTTACTTATTATCCTCTCTCTCTATTTTCCCCAATTTCCCTCATCTAAAACCCTCGCTCGTCAAATTGGGTCGCCGCTTCTTCAGTCGCCGGCTTCGTCTCCAGCCGAGGTGAATGGGCTCCGGGCCCCCTTTTCTCCGCATGGCCACGGGTTTTTGGTCCTGTTCGTCGCTTTTCTTGATTCCTTGGCGGCGGCTGGGCTGCCCGGCGGCTTGGGCTTGTCTGTGTCTAGATGCGGGTGGGCTTGGGTTGTTGTCTCACCGTCCTCTACTTCTTCGTCACATTTTTACAACAAAAAATCAACCAAGAAGGTTGGAGGAAGTCTAATGATTTTTCAATCTTTTCTGCTAGGTAATCTAGTTTGGGAACTGGGCGGGGCTTGTTGACCTTGGCGTGTTGGTTCAAGGTGGCTGAGGTTTTGATGGGGTCCGTTGGGAAGACGGCCCTCAAGTGCTTTCTTGGTCGGGAACAGTAGGGGTGTGAGGCTTGGCTCGGGAGTTAGGTGGGTGGAGTTAGAGAAGGGAGTTTCGAAATCCGCTTCCCGGGTGTTAGGCTTGGCTCGGGAGTTAGGTGGGTGGAGTTAGCCAGCTCTTTCGGGAGAAGGGAGTTTCGAAATTCGCTTCCCGGACTGTTGTCTTACTCGCTTTGGTTGCTTTGGTCGGGTGTTTGGCTCGTGTTGGAAGGTCGGAGCTTTTGTTTGACTGTCGACGAGGGCTTTTGTTTGTTTAATTATGTTGGTTAGGTGTCCTGGTTGTATTTTGTTGTTTCGTTTGTGTTTTATTTTCTTCGTGTGTAGTGTATTCTCCTGTTGGGAGCTTTCCTTTTCTGCTCCTTTTGGGAGTTTTTCGTTGNCTTTCTTGTGATGCATGTGTTTAACTCTGTATTTGGTTATTCTTGGAACACCAGTAATTGGTGTTACTTTCTTTTTAAGCTGTGTGATTTTTATACTTCTTTTGGTTTGCATATCTACCTTTTCAATTGGGTGTTAAAACAACTTGATGAAGATCGTGTATCGGGATTCGATTTTGTGTAAGAACCCGTGCTAATGGCCTTGTTTCGGTCACGATAAAATGAGTAAACCTGCACTAACGGCCTTTGACACATTAAGTGAAAAATCTGCACTATCGGCATCCATTTTTCACGAAGACAGTACTCGAAAACGAGCTTTTTTCTTAAAATTTATTTCATACAGCTTCCTTTTCACAATAATGAGTACATGGATTTATGATCTAAATCTAATCATTCAAATATTCAAATTATAACTAACACATTTAAACTAAACACACAGAGATGAGAAGAATGATTTGAAGGTCATGTCATTGAGGACAAGGACAAACACAAAGGGAAAGGGAATGATGCGAACCGGACTTTCGAGTGGAAATCTATCGGATCGCGTGGATGATGGCGGATGAAGTGGATTTTCATGCACATAGAATTAATTAGGATAATTTAGATAGGATTAATCTAGATAAATTATGTTAGTTTCTTTTTAAATTTTAAATATGTTAGTTAGTTGTAGGTTTGAATATTTAAATTTGAATGTTGTTTGTGTGTATTATAAATAGGACCTTTGTATGCATGTTTGGAATCAAATTTTATGAAATAAATTTTAAGAAATAGGCTCGTTTCTAAGTAATGTCTTCGTGAAAACCAGGCCTACAGTGTAAGTTTTTCACTTAATAATGTGTCGACCAAGACCGTTAGTGCGGGTTTATATATTTTATCGTGTTCGAACCAAGGCCGTGAGCGCGGATTCTTACACAAAATCGAGTACCGATACACGATCTTCATCACTAGTGAAGATCGTGTATCGGGACCAATGATCATGTATCGGGTATCGATACACGATCTTCAAGAGCACCAATGATGAACATATAAGTTTGGTAAATGAAAATTGTCGGTTACATTATTCTTTTTTTTTTAAAAAAAATATTTGTTTGGTATCAATTGTGACAATTTTGGAATACTAGGAAGAGTGTTATTGTTATGGAATGTTTTTTGATTAGAAGGTTAATTATAAAATTTTCTATTTAACTGCATAACTATTTCGTATTTTATCAATTTTCGTTGCCTATTTTTCGCATAGTATATCGTCTAATTATTTCACTTTATCATTTATCTTGGGCGTGAAGCATAGTTTCTCGCATAATTATTTCACTCTTTATCAATTATGTTCGTCTGTTTGTCGCTTAGTAAACACATAACTGTTTTGTACTATATCAATAATTTTCGTCTTTCATTCACATAGCCGATCTCATATTTATTTTGCGCTTTAGAAATTATTTTTGTTCTGCAATAAAAGCTTAGAAGAGTTGATGAAAGAGGGGGGATCGAGGGATTGGAAAAGTTGGGCAGAACTTCAATTCAAACTTAAGAAAGCTCATCTTGATGAAGAGACCTTTTGGAGACAAAAATCTCGAGTGCAATGGCTTAAGGCTGGTGATAAGAACTCAAAGTTTTTTCATGCTAGCACTGCTCAGAGAAGAAAGGTGAATTCTATTGAGAAGTTGAGGAACAGGTGGAACCAAGAATGCCAATCTCAAGAGGAGGTGTTGGAGGAAGTTATGCATCATTATACCCCTCTATTTACATCTTCCAATCCGATTTTCCAGTCAAGGGTGTTTGAAGGGTTACCTGTTTCCATCTCCCCTGATCACAACAAAGAACTTATTGCAGCTGTGACTCTAGAGGAAGTGAAGAAGGCTCTCTTTGATATGAACCCTAACAAAGCTCCCGGATTAGATGGTATGTCCCCTCTTTTCTTTCAATTTGCTTGGGATAAAATTCATAAGTGTGTTTTTGAAGCTGTTTCTGATTTCTTTTGTTGTGCTAGAATTCCTAAATGTGTGAATCATACCCTTATAACACTTATCCCTAAGATTAAAAACCCTTCCAGAATTTCTCACTACAGACCCATTAGTTTATGTAGTGTTGTATACAAAATCATATCTAAGGTTTTGGCTGTCAGATTGAAGAAGGTGATTGCTAAATGTATTAGTCCTAGCCAGGCTGCTTTTGTGCCTGGTAGGCAAATTCTAGACAATGTGGTGGTGGCCCATGAATGTTTACATTTTTTTGAAAAATTTAAGAAAGGGAAAGAAAAGTTATGTGGCTATTAAGCTTGATATGGCTAAAGCCTATGACCGGATTGAGTGGAACTTTCTTGTGGCTGTTCTTGTTAAAATGGGGTTTCATAGGAGGTTTGTTGGATGGATTTTAGCTTGTATTAGCTCTGTTCATTATTCTTTTAATTTGGGAGGAGAGGTGTGTGGGTTTTTGAAGTCGACTAGAGGGATTAGACAGGGAGACCCCTTATCTCCCTATCTTTTCATTCTAGTTTCTGAAACTTTCTCTAATTTGCTGAAACAAGCTGCTCTTAGAAATAAATTCCAAGGTCTCAGGGTTAGTAGAAAGGGCCCCATGGTCACGCACTTATTCTTTGCCGATGATGCACTGTTATTCTGTGATACTTCTGTGAGCTCGGTGCAGTGTATAAGACAGATTCTGAAGGACTACTGTGAGGCTTCAGGCCAGTTAGTAAACTTTGAAAAGTCCTCATGCTTCTTCAGCAGGAATGTGGATAATGGAGATAGAGTGGAGGTTTGCAGGGCACTAGGTAATATGCAGAACCACCAAAATACAAAATACTTGGGGCTGCCAATGGTGATTGGAAGAGCTAAAAGAGGGATTTTCCATTTTGTGGAGGAGGTTACAAAATCTAAATTGCAAAACTGGAAAGGTAAATTACTGAGTTTGGCTGGGAAAGAGGTACTTATTAAATCAGTAATCAATGCTCTTCCAGTTTATGTGATGTCATGTTTCTCTATCCCAAAGTCAATTTGTGCTAATATCAATGCTCTGGTTAGAAAATTCTGGTGGGGTGAAAAAGAAGGAAAAACCGGTCAAGCCTGGATTAAATGGGACAATATGTGTATGGATAAGCAGAATGGTGGCCTGGGGTTCAGAGATTTGGGAGCTTTTAATCAAGCTCTTTTGGCAAAGCAACTGTGGAGAGTCCTTACTAATCCAAACCTCATGATGAGTAAAGTCTTGAAGGCTAAATATTTTCCAAAAGGAGGGATTGGTAATGCTCAGATTAAAGGAGGGGATTCTTGGATATGGAAAAGTTGGGCAAAAGCCAGATCTGCTTTGGCTTTGGGGCTCAGAATGCAAGTTGGGGACGGTAAAAATATTAGAGTATGGGAATCACCATGGATTCCTAATGTTGCAGGTTTTAAACCCAAAGGGGCTGGGGGAAGAGATGTGAGAGTTGAATGGGTCAGAGATTTGTTTAATGCTGATGGTCAATCCTGGAATGAGGACTTAATCTGTCAAATTTTTACCCCCTTAGAGGCAGCAGAAATTCTGAAAATTCCTCTTTCTCATACTGATTCAAAAGACAAATTTGGCTGGTGTTTAGAAAAAAAAAGTGTCTTTACTGTCAATTCCTGTTACAAGGAGATAATGAAGCAGGCTGTGCTAAAGAGAGATATCCCTGGATCCAGTGATGGAGGGGATTTAATAAAAAAGATGTGGAGGAATACTTGGGCTATAAAAGTGAAACCGAAGCTGAGAGTTTTTTTATGGAGGTGCATTCATAATTCTCTTCCAGTTGCAACCAATTTGTGTAAAAGAGGGATTATTCAAGATCCTACTTGTAATCTGTGTGGTGAAGAAGTGGAAGATCTTATGCATGCTTTCTTTGAATGCTCTAGAGCTAAGAGGGTGTGGGAAATTGCTCCTATTCTGTGGGATTCTACTCAGATTAAGAAAGATCATTTCAGGGGATGGTGGCAGGATTTATGCAATGCTAAAAGAGGGGATTATTGGGAGGAGAGAATGGAGCTCACAGTCTACATATTAGGTTGGTTGTGGAAAACCAGAAATGTTTGGATTTTTGAAAAGAAGAGAATTTCTGAGAGAGAACTAATTAGTGGAGCAAAGGAGGAATGGGCTGAATTTGGTTTAGTTAAAAACATTAAGGATGATCCTCACTTTAATCCCTTACCCAGCTTAGGACAAGTAGGACAGATATCTATGTTTGTCAGTGCTTGTGTTATCCCTGGAGTTGGTTGTGGATTAGGGTGTGTGGCTTTTTCTAAAGATCTAAATTCTATATGCAAGAAATGGCAGATTTTTAATCCTTGTTGCTTTAATCAAGATGAAGGCCTTCTATTGGGAGTTCACTCTGTTCTTTGGAAAGCTTTTCTGCAGGACTGGAAAGATGTGGTGGTTAATATTGATGATGAAGCTACTTTTTTGCTGTTGAAGAATGCTGCCAATTGCGAGGGGAGCAGGAAGGAATTAGTTGAAGAAATTCACATTTTGGTGGGCCTTGTTAATCCTGTATCTTTTGCTTTTGGTAGTGGTTCTTTGTCTGTTGATTGTTCTAGTTTAGCACTTGATGCTGTGGTGTCAATGAATAGCCATGAATGGCTTTGATTTTTGTATTAGCCGTAGTCTGTTATGGCTAGTAATTGATTTGTGATCAGTGGATCACCGTATTGTAAAACTTTATTTTTTCTGTGAGTGCAATATTATATAACGNCGTTTGGAAAAAAAAAAAAAAAAGAAATTATTTTTGCTAGTCTATGGTGAAAAAGCTAGCTTATTATTTGGTGGTGTGTAAAATTTATTCATGTTTAAAGCGGGTCAAAATAACTATTTCTGATAGATATATCATTTGCATCCATTGTAAACCCTTTCTTCCCCTCGAGGGCCAAAACCCTCGGCAGTCTCTACTTGAAGAAAAGGAAAAAACAAAAATGGCGGACAGTGAAACTAACGCAGAGAAATCAGCCAAATTCGAAGATTTCTTAAGCTCCCTACCACAAGAGATCAAGGCCGAGATTCTATCTCGATTGCCATTGAAGACGGTGGCTCAATCCAGAGCCGTCTGTCCGGCGTGGAACTTGACTCACGGCGACCCGTCTCTCCTCGATATGCTCATTTCCTGCAAATTCGCTCTCAATCGGACATGGGTTTTCCTGGGCGTTGACCGTATCCACACTTCCGTATTCTTCATCGAACTTTACGATGATGCCGTCGAGGAAGAAGACAATAAGGCGGACCGCAGATTTTGAGAGATCGATTTGCCCTTTTCCGGTGATCGCAGCTTTCGGATAGTCGGCTCTTGCAACGGCCTTCTGTGCTTAGCCGATTCGTCCTATCCCCACCCAAGAATCTACCTTTACAATCCCTTTACAAAGACCTTCAAATTGCTGCCAAAGAATCATCTTATCAGTAAGGTGGATTATCGAGATGGATCCTACGAATCCATGTTTGGGTTCGGGTACAATCCTTCCTCCCGGGACTATACTGTGGTGAGTGTGGATTATATAATTTCCAAACTGGAGGAGAAAACGAATGCGTATGTGTATACTTTAAAGAGTAACACATGGAAAAGGGCCAAGAATGTGCCAGTTCATATATTTCGGCCAAGCTTCCAGGGAGGGGTTTTGGCGGGCGGGAGGTTGCACTGGCTGAGGGACGATATATCGGGCATTGTTTCTTTCGACTTGGCGGACAATTTTTTCCGGGAGATTCCGATGGATGTTCCCACGATAGTTAAAAACTCGGTCCATCTGCTGTCTCAGTGGTATTGGGTCCACATTGCAGTTTTAGGAGGACACTTGTCGCTTGTGGTGAACAATAGCTTCCAGATTGTGATTTGGGGTATGAGAGAGTATGGGGTGAAGGAGTCCTGGGAGAGGATGTATACTATCGGACAGTCGTTTTACGAGGAGTATTCTTATGAAGGGGACTCGGATTCTATTCGTGTGTTGGGTCTCAGGAAAAATGGGGATATTCTTCTGGCAAGCGACTTTGTTGAGTTGGTTAGCTATAATTCGCGCAATGGGGCGTTCGGGTTTGTCTATGGAGGTGATGGGTTTGAATTTGCGGAAGATTGTGTTCGTGTTAGTGATCTTATTACTCCAAGCGCCTTGTGCTTTTGACCGTTCGTTCCATTGAAGTCGGTTGGTTGCGTCGATGATTTCGTAAGTCAATATATTAGAACAATTTATCACTTTTATCTTGCGTTAATCGAGCAATTCTAAGTTGATCGTTTTATTATAGTTGAAACATGATTGTATGTAGCTGCTGCAAACAATTTGTCAGTCGTTATGAATCACTTTTCTGCCTTGGTGCTGATGATTCTGGTTGCTGAAGTGAAAACAGGGGATCTTGTTTGCTTTTAAATGGATATCTTGAATATCGAATGAGAATTAAGGTGGTGGATTCACCACAAGTATTTGCTTAACTTGACCTATTTGATACTGAACAAATTGTGGTGTTCGGCTGGGTAGTAAGAATCCAGAATGTTTAAGCTCAGATCAGTGTTAGATACCAACTCGAAACTAATTAAGGGGTTTAAATATTTCCAGAAATGAAAAGGTTGAAATTTTGAGTTTTGATTTATGTAGCATATGAACTCAAAGCTTCAACTTAATTGAGGATTATTGAAGTGTGTGAAACAAAGAACAGAACAAGAGGTGTTCCTTAGGGCTGCAAACGAGCAGAGCCGAGTCGAGCATTGACCTTATCGAGCAGGATTGAATTTTTTTTTTAGCTGCTAGAGGTCGAACTTGTCAAACTCGATTTATGAGGCTCGAGCTCGACTCGATAAGAAAATGTAATAGCTCGAGCTCGGCTCGAAATTTTTTACGTGAACTTACCATTAAGCACTATTAAGCACTTGTGTTATACTATTTAAATATATACAAGGGGTATTTTAGTAATTTATCGAACCGCTCGACAAGGCAAAATATGGGCTCGAGTTCGTGTTCGAGCCGCTCGAGTTCGGTCAAGCTCGACTCGAGCGCTTGCGAGCCGACTCGTTTGCAACCCTAGACTGTTCTTCAATTTTGGACTAGTGAGCCACCAGTCAATCATTTTTTGAAGTTTTAGGGTACTATTGCTTGGTGCAGGAAAACCTGAAGGCTAAAGCCCCATCAGAGGTATTGTATGCCATTGCAATACAAGGGGTATCTTTTGAGTATTAAAACACAAAGAAGTCTCGACAGTACTAAAATACGAATACTATGAATTTTGAGTATTAAAACACAAGAACATACAGTACATATGAATTTTGATCCAAAAGATGTACAGGCCATGGATCCTGCCCATCCCCCCATCCCCCGGCCCAGCTTTGTGAGTGCTTTCAGAAAATAAAATATAAACACAAAATTCCATCACACAGAATTACACAAACATCGAACTACTCATTCAGTCACTTAATGCCTGTAAAAAAGATAAACCTGGGATCGGTTGGATACTGCCTAATTCCTCATCCTCCGAGTGCTTCCCGAGAAGGAAACTTTTTCCTTGCGTTTTTGTCAGAGAACATCAACACAGGCACTTGACTCGAACTGAGTTACACTCATTTAGCCACCTTGATACCCGTAAGATAAACCTATAAGCCTTTGATATGTTATGTATAAGAATTAGTTTTTAACATTATTGCAAATAGGTTAAAAAATGTGTTACATTTTTTTATTAAGTAGTAATCAGTCTGTTTTCATTTCTGCCAGACAAATCATTGATAATGTTTTGATTACTAATGAGTTCATCAACCACTTAAACTGCCTTAGAACAGTAAAAGAGCCAAGTTCTAGCTCTCAAGCTTGATATGACTAACGCTTATAATAGAGTGGAGTATAATTTTTTGCTTGCTATACTTAAAAAGATTGATTTTTGTGAAATTTTTATATCTTGGATTTGGGCTTGTATCAACGCAACTTCTTTTTCTTTCTCTATTAATGGTACAACTGTAGTGTATGTTCAACATTCTAAAGGGATTAGATAAGGAAATCTCTTTTCTCTTTATTTTTTTATAATCCTTTTTACCTTTTTATAATCATTTCAGAAGCATTTTTTAATCTTTTTTATTTAAGTTTAGGTTATTATGAACTTTTTCTCAAATGATTCTCTTATGCTTCAACGCTTAATAATATTATTGTCTTATTGTCAAGCTAGGCAGCTTGTAATGATAAGTCAACTATTTTCTTTAGTAGAAACATTCAGCCTACAACAACAAAAATAAATAAATAAATAAATAAACAATTAGCTCTATTCTCCATGGAGTCAAAGAATAAGTTAGCTCATGGTAATTGGGTCTCCCCATAGGCTTTGGTAAGGCCGAAAGAGAGACTTGTTTATGAGGTAGTGAGTAAAAGAGTAATGAGCTGCTAAAACAAATTTTTAGGTGTTGCTGGAAAAGAAGTGTTGCTGAAATCAATGATTAATATTTTAGGTGTTGCTGGAAAGAAGTATTGAGAAGTGTTTAATAATATATGATTTTTTATTGTTTGTATTTATTTATTTTCATAATGAGACGAGATGTAAAAAATATAAACAATCATATTTAAAACAAAGTCTAAAAAAAGGTTTAAAAGATGAGCTTCTCCGTACACCCCACCTGATATGCACTAGTTGTATATATAAGGCAAAATTGCATAATAATACAGAACCTTTCATGTTTTTGTAATTTAATCACCACATTTGTAATTTAGCAATTTAATACACCACTGTGACTATTGTTTGCAATTCTAACCATTCTACTGACATTGTGTTCCACGTGTCAATGGCATGACATTTTTATGCTGACATGGCATTCCACGTATCAATTGGATATATATAAAATATGCTGGTCATGGGATTCGAACCTGAGACATAAAAGTTGCATGGTAACTCTGTCACCACCACACAATCCACGTTAGTTGATAAATCTAATAGTGTTTTAAATATATCGACTTACGTATGAGTAAATCAAATTAAATTTAGAAGATAATGTAAATTATATCAAGTTAAAATAATAAAATATAAAATTATAATAAATTAAATTATATAAAATAAAATCAAAATTAAATAATTAAAATGACATAAGATAAAACATATTAAATTGGGATGAATTTAAATTAAATTAAATTAAAAAATTTATATATATAAATATTAAAATAAAATTAATTATATAAATTTAGAAATGAAAAATAATAATTATAAAAATAAATTAAAAATAAACTAAATTAAAGTACACTAGTTAAAATAAAATAAAAATAACATGATATAAGATAATAAATTATAAAAAAATAATAATATAAAATAAAATAATAAATATAATAACTTATTATGAAATAATAAATTAAAATAAATAAAAATCATAAATGAATATAATAAAATAAAAAAATATTATTTGGCAGTGGAGGGTTTATAGTTTGTGAATGTTGCTTGTCTTGTTTGTTGTTGAGGTTCTACGCTGCTTTTAAGCGTGTCTCCCAGTTCTCTTGTTTCGGGTTGTTGTTTATTGTATTCGAACATTGTTCTCTTTTGAGTTTAATAGATCCTTTTATAGCTTCAGAAAACAAAAATTATTAATATGATTTACTCTACCATAAAATATGAATTAAGAAAATTATATATGAATTATCATTTTTTAGTAAATCATTTGAATTAGAAATAAATAATTTTTATTTCTAAAATTTATTTAGTAAATTTTATTTCATTGTCTTAAGTTAAAAAAAGTTATTTTAGTTTTATTCATTTTCTTAATTTTATATAATTTATTTTATTATTTTATAATTTATTATAATTTTATATTTTATTGATGTAATTTAATATAAATTACATTATCTTTTAAATTTAATTTGATTAAATATAATTTACATTATCTTTTAAATTAAATTTGATTTATCCATACGTAATGTATAAATATATAAAACGCTATTTGTGTCATTGACAAGTGAAATTCCATATCAGCAGAAAAATGTCAGGTCAACGCCATGTCAGCAGAAAAATCGGAAATCGGGCCTCTGTGATTCGAATTGCAAACATTAGTCAAAGCGGTGTATTAAATTACTAAATTACAAAAGTGACAATTAAATTGCAAAACATAAAAGGTGGTGTATTAATATGCAATTTTGCCTATAAATAAATATGGGGAATTTCTTTTACCCCCACTATATACATGCACTTTCTTTTAGCACAATGTTCTATCAAAAAACTTCTTTTTCACCCCCAATAATCACGAAATTATACGTGATATTAATCGCATATCCAAATGAACCGCATAATTAACAATTATGTGAGATTTTTTCGTATATATAATAACACATATCCAAATCCATTGTATAATTTTTGTTAAGAAAAATTATTTTGCCTATATATTTATCGCATATCAAATTGACAGCCGCATATTTTACGATTATGTGACAAGTTTTCGCATAATTTATGTCTCGCATATCAATATCTAACGCATAGTTAACAAGTATGCGAAACACTTAAGCATCGCGTATTCAATCAAACGTCGTATATTTTATGTCATACGACATGTTTTCTCATAGTTTACGATTCGCATATCCAAATCCACAACATAATTTACCATATGCGAGAAGTTTTCGTATATTCAAGAATCAAATATCCAAATCCAACGCCGCATATTTTATGCTATGCGATAAATTTTCGCATAATAAGGACTCGCATATCCACATCCACCGCATAACTTACCATGTGCGAGAAGTTTTCGTGTATTCAAGAATCAAATATCAAAATCCAACGTCGCATATTTTATGTTATGCGATATTTTTTTGCATAGTTTATGTTTCGCATATCCAAATCGAGGGAGAAAAAGACATAATAAAAGGACAAGGACGGGTCACCGGTGGCCCCAGGGGCCACCGACGACAAGGGGCGGCTAGGAGGAGAGGCTGGCTGGCAAAAGAAAATGAAAAGGTAGAGATAAGGTTTCTAGAGAGTGAAAGCTAGACCTAAGAGCATCCACAATGGTTTGGGTCTCTTTTTACATATGTGACAAATAAATAGACTTAAGTTTATAATGACATGGATAAACTCAAGCTAAAAAATCCAAAATTATCTAATGCAAAAAAAAGTTCTCAAAATAGACCAAAATATAATAATAGTAAATATAATAATAGTAAATGATTGCTGATTGTACAAGTTCACACTTGAGACCAAAATAGACTCAGACCCAAGAGTGAGCTTGGTCTCCTTCTTTTATTGCCACATAAGCTAGACTAGATCCACTTTTAAATGCATTGTGAAACACTTTTTTATAAATTAAGTATATTTCCTACATGGCATGTGATATTTTTTAAGGGAGAACAATTATTCTCAATCTCTCATTTTTTTTTACCTAAAATGAAAATAAAAATATAAATATATCATTTACAACCTATAAAATAATAGGCGTCGTACACCCCTTCTTCCTCGCAACCCTCCATCTCTCCCCACTCTACTTCAAGAAAAGGAACAAACAAAAATGGCGGATAAAGAAACGAACGCAGGCAAATCAGCCAAATTGGAATATTTCTTAGTCCCCTGCCAGAAGAGATGAAGATCGAGATTCTATCTCGAATGCCCTTGAAGTCGGTGGCTCAATCCAGAGCCGTTTGTCGGGCGTGGAACTTGACTCACGGCGACCCGTCTCTCCTCGATATGCTCATTTCCTGAAAATTCGCTCTTAATCGGACATGGGTTTTGTGGGCGTTACCCATATCCACACTTCCGTATTCTTCATCGAAATTTATGATGATGCCGGCGAGGAAGAAGACAATAAGGCGGACCGCATATTTCGAGATATCAATTTTGCCTTTTCCGATGATTGCAGCCCCATATGTTTTGGGATAGTCGGCTCTTGCAACGGCCTTCTGTGCTTAGCCAATTCGTCCTATGGCTATCCCCGCCCAAGAATCTACCTTTACAATCCCTTTACAAAGACCTTCAAATTGCTGCCAAAGAATCATTTGATCATTAAGGTGGATTGTCGAGATGAATCCAACAAATCCGTGCTTGGGTTCGGATACAATCTTTCCGCCCGGGACTATACTGTGGTGAGTGTGGATTATATGAAAATTTCTGAACAGGAGGAGAAAACGAAAACGAATGCGTATGTGTATACTTTAAAGAGTAACACGTGGAAAAGGGCCGAGAATGTGCCGGTTCATAGGTTTGGCAAAAAATTCCCTGGAGGGGTTTTGGCGGGCGGGAGGCTGCACTGGTTGAGGAACGATAAGTGGGGCATTGTTTCTTTCGACTTGGCGGACAATTTTTTCCGGGAGGTCGAGATGGATTTGCAAACGATAGTCAAAAACTCGGTCCATCCGCTGACTAGGCGGCATTTTCTCCACATTGCAGTTTTAGGGGGATGTCTGTCGCTTGCAGTGGACGATAGCTTCCAGATTGTGATTTGGGGCATGAGAGAGTATGGGGTGAAGGAGTCTTGAGAGAGGATGTATACTCTCGGAAGCTCGTTTTACGAGAAGTATACTTATGTCGGGTGCTTGAATTTTATTCGTGTGTTGGGTCTCAGGAAAAATGGGGATATTCTTCTGCAATCTACTTTTTCGGGTTGGTTAGCTATAATCCACGCGATGGGACGGTCAGGTTTGTTTTTAAATGTGATGTTTTTAAATTTGATGGGTTTGGATTTGCGGGAGATTGTATTCGTGTTAGTGATTTTATTACTCCAAGCGCCTTGTGCTTTTGACTGTTCTATTGAAGTCGGTTGGTTGTGTCGATGATTTCATAAGTCAATATATTAGAACAATTTTATCGCTTTTATCTTGCGTTAATTGAGCAATTCTAAGTTGATCGTTTTATTATAGTTGAAACATGATTGTGTGTGTAGCGTGTCATGTAGCTGATGTGAACAATTATCGACGTTATGAATCACTTTTGTGCCTTGGTGCCGATCATTCTGATAGCTGAAGTGAAAACAGGGGATCTTGTTTGCACCAAAATTGATATCTTGAATATCGAATGAGAATTAAGGGGTTGTATTCACCAATCGCCATAAGTATTTACTGAACTCGACCTATTTGATACTGAACAAAGTGTGGTGTTCAGCTGAGATGAATGAGATTTAAGGTGGTGTATTCACCAATCACCATAAGTATTTGCTGAACTTGACCTAACAAAGTGTGGTGTTGGTGTTCAGCTGAGTCGTAAGAACCACAATGTTAAAGCTCAAATCAATGTTAGATACCAACTCGAAACCAATTAAGGGGTTTAATATTTTTTTCAGTCCAAAACTGAAGAAAAGGTAGAAAAATTGAGTCTGATTAATGTAGAATATGAACTCAAAGCTTCAAGCCTTCAACTTAAATGAGGATTATGAAGTCTATGAAACAAAGAATATAACAGGAGGTGTTCCTCAATGTTGGACTAGTGAGCCACCAGTCAATCATCACTTGAAGAATTTCTGGGTACCATTGATTGGTTCAGGAAAACCTAAAGCCCCATCAAGGGGTATCTTTTGGGTATTAAAACATGAAGAGTGCTCGACAGTACTAAAACACGAATCCATCATTGACATAAGAACATAAATATGAATTTTCATCCACGCAATGTACAGGCCAGAGATCCTGCCCATCCCCCACAGCTCGTGATTGCTTTCAGAAAATAAAAATATAAACACAAAATTCCATCACACACCCACACAGAATCACACACACACATCCAACTACTTAATCAACCATTAATGTCTGTAAAAAAGATAAACTTAAGATCAGTTGGATACTGCCTAATCCCTCATCCTTCAAGTGCTTCCCGAGAGGAGATGTTTTTCTCGTGCTCTTTTCAGACATCGACTCAAGAGCTTGAAAGGAATAATCAAATCAAAATTCAGTAAATGCGATCAAGCGATAATGCAGCAGACTTATTTACGAAGTGTTCTCGACTGCAACATTTTGAAAGCACGTCAAGAACGAATGAGACAACTTCGAGATTTACATAGATGATCATTCGAAGGAGAGCATGTGCAGTTGTACTCTTGTTTCCTTATCTTGATTTTTTTCCCACATGATTATTCCAGATAAGGTTTTTATTCTTGTTTCTTTATCTTGATTTTTTTTCCACATGATTATTCCAGATAAAGTTGTTAATGAGGCAACGCAAACGCATATTTTGTAGTGGTAATTTCAAGGGGAGTGTAATAAATAGTGTAAATGGTGGACTTACCAATATTTGTAAATAGTAAAACGATAGAGAAATGAAAATTTTGTGTAAGAAACGCAATATGATGTCGGCAAAGATGCCTATAAAAGGCCACTATATAAAATGGAAGATGATAAACGAAAAGAAAACAAAAAAAAACCAATATACATTATATCTAATTTTTATATCTGATTTCTATACTCAGTTCTTTATCCATTTCTTTACATTAATAACAAACTAGTACAATACCTGTGTATTAAAAAATTATTCTTAAATTATAAAATTAATGAGAAAAATTATTTTAAATTTTAATTACTTTTTTTACAAAAAAATATATATTATTATATATTTTAAAATGACACTTGTTATTTGTGCGACTTACATTTATTATATTAAGGTAATTTTTATAACTTATATCATATAACTACTTGAAACATAAATATATTAATTGATAAATAATTTTATTTTTCTAATTAATATTAAAAAATAATTTTATTATTGTTATAAAGATAAATATAATTTAATTTTTTATACATACAATATGGATGTTAAATCCAACCTTATCAAGAAATGATTAATTTGATATATTATATATGTAAAACTGATAAAAACTACAAAAATTATTAACTTTTAAAATACATTTACAATTCAATTGTTATAGTAATAAATAATATTAAAATACAATTAATACATGTAACATGATCATAAAATAATCAATATATTTATAGATAATCCGAAAGACACCCCCTCTCCGGCCAGAGAGGATTTGAGTACAACAGTGATTACGGAAGATCTTTGTTCCTATTATTTAAAAGCCTAACTAGGCGCGTCAGGTTAAAATCTACCTAAGTCTAATAATGAAGCATCAAAATTTTATCACATAAAATTTGGAAATATGTGAATCTGTCATTTAGACTCAGTATGTTTTGAATTAATAATTTAATATATAATGAGTATATGATTTACCATATATGATTTACACCCGATAAATATATTAGCCATTGTATCCCCTTTCTTCCCCCACGCCACAACCCTCGCCAGTCATCACAAGATTCGCTACCTAAATGGCGGACAGTGAAACTAACGCAGAGAAATCAGCAAAATTCGAAGATTTCTTAAGCTCCCTACCACAAGAGATCAAGGCCGGGATTCTATCTCGACTGCCATTGAAGACGGTGGCTCAATCCAGAGCCGTCTGTCCGGCGTGGAACTTGAGTCACGGCGACCCGTCTCTCCTCGATATGCTTATTTCCTGCAAATTCGCTCTTAATCGGACATGGGTTTTTATGGGCGTTCACCGTATCCACACTTCCGTATTCTTCACCGATCTTTATGATGATGCCGGCGAGGAAGAAGACAATAAGGCGGACCGCATATTTCGAGAGATCAATTTGCCCTTTTCCGATGATTGCAGCCCCAGCAGCTTTGGGATAGTCGGCTCTTGCAACGGCCTTCTGTGCTTAGCCTATTCGTCCTATCCCCGACCAAAAATCTACCTTTACAATCCCTTTACGAAGACCTTCAAATTGCTGCCAAAGAATCATCTGATCAGTAAGGTGGATTGTCGAGATGAATCCTACAAATCCGTGTTTGGCTTCGGATACAATCCTTCCGCCCGGGACTATACTGTGGTGAGTGTGGATTATATGAAAATTTATGAACAGGAGGAGAAAACGAATGCTTATGTGTATACTTTCAAGAGTAACACCTGGAAAAGGGCCAAGAATGTGCCGGTTCATAGGTTTCGGGCAACATTCGCTGGAGGGGTTTTGGCGAGCGGGAGGCTGCACTGGTTTAGGGACGATAATTTGGGCATTGTTTCGTTCGACTTGGCGGACAATTTTTTTCGGGAGGTCGAGATGGATTTGCCCATGATAGTCAAAAACTCGGTCCATCCGCTGTCTAGACGGAATTTTCTCCACATTGCAGTTTTAGGGGGATACCTATCACTTGCAGTGGACGATGGCTGCCCGATTATGATTTGGGGCATGAGAGAGTATGGGGTGAAGGAGTCTTGGGCGAGGATGTATACTCTCGGAGGCTCGTTTTACGAGGAGTATACTTATTTCGGGGGCTGGAATTGTATTCGTGTGTTGGGTCTCAGGAAAAATGGGGATATTCTTCTGGCAATCCAACTTGTCGGGTTGGTTAGCTATAATCCACGCGATAGAGCGGTCAGGTTTGTCTTTGAATGTGATAAGTTTCTATTTGCGGAAGATTGTGTTCGTGTTAGTGATTTTATTACTCCAAGCGCCTTGTGCTTTTGACTGTTCTAATGAAGTCGGTTGGTTGTGTCGATGATTCGTAAGTTGTTCGTTTTATTATAGTTGAAACATGATTGTGTGTGTAGCATGTCATGCAGCTGCTGTGAACAATTTGTCGACGTTGTGAACCACTTTTGTACCTTGGTGCCAATAATTCTGATAGCTGAAGTGAAAACAGGGGATCTTGTTTGCACCAAAATGGATATCTTGAATGTCAGAATGAGAATTAAGGGGTTGTATCCACCAATCACCATAAGTATTTACTGGACTCGACCTATTTGATACTGAACAAAGTGTGGTGTTCAGCTGAGACGAATGAGAATTAAGGTGTTGTATTCACCAATCACCATAAGTATTTGCTGAACTTGACCTATTTGATACTAACAAAGTGTGGGGTTCTCTGTGGTGTTCAGCTGAGTCGTAAGAACTGCAATTTAAAGCTCAAATCAATGTTAGATACCAACTCAAAACTAATTAAGGGGTTTAAAATTTTTCCAGTCCAAAAATTAAAAAAAGATAGAAAAATTGGGTTTGATTAATGTAGAATATGAACTCAAAGCTTCAAGCCTTATTGAAGCCTATGAAACAAAGAACATAACAAGAGGTGTTCCTCAATGTTGGACTAGTGAGCCACCAGTCAATCATCATCTAAAGGTTTTTAGGGTACCATTGCTTGGTTCAGGAACACCTAAAGCCCCATCAGAGGTATTGTATGCTATTGCAATACAATTCAAGGGTTATCTTTAGAGTATTAAAACACAAAGAGTACTAAAAACACGAATACATCATTGACATAAGAACATGAATATGAATTTTGATCCACGCAATGTACAGGCCAGAAATCCTGCCCATCCCCCCCAGCTCGTGATTGCTTTCAGAAAATAAAAATAAAAATATAAACACAAAATTCCATCACACACACACACACAGAACCACACAAACATCGAACTACTAATTCAGCCACTTATTGCCTGTAAACAAGATGAAACCTTGGATCAATTAGATATCCTCCGAGTACTTCCCGAGAAGGAGGCTTTTTTTTTGTGCTCTTTTCAGACATCGACACACACACACAAACACACACACACACACACACACACACCACACGACTCAAAGTGAGTTACACTCATTCAGCCACCTTAATACCCGTAAGATAAACCTGCGGTTGGATCACACCACCATCCATCCAAAACCCCGGCATGACCATCAAACCCACCTTCGGCTTCTCATTCTCACCTTCACCCACCACAATATCCTTCACAACACTCTCCATATAAACCACGCATTGAATGCTCGCGTACCACCAAGTATGGACTCAGTATTGTCTGCATTAGGAACAAAGATACCACATAGCTTATCTTCAAGTAAGTAGTCGATAAGAAAGTCATCAAACTTTGGCGTCCAATTTAGGTCGTACAGATAGTCTGCTTGCACTAAACCCAAATTTGGAGCCATTACAATTTTATGACCTAGAAATTTTGCTTGTTTTTTTTAACTTAGGTAATATTTGACCGCTTCCTTCAATGGTTGTGGACTACTTAGTATGCGTTATGGTGATTATATAGCAAAATTTGATGATGCAAATCAATCATGTAGTAACTGGTTGAACAAAGGGGTATGGTCTCCATGTTCGTCTTGTCTATTCAATGCAGCCTTGCATAAGTAGCTGAAACCTACATGTAGGCGTGTGTAGTGAGTGGTCATTGCATGTCCCCTCGATTATGACATTGTTGACCGAAAACATGACTCGAGTGGTCACATTCTTTGTTTTGCGCATGCAAGAACGAGCAATAATGCATTTTTACATTAATTTAAATTACATATGCTGCTATTTACCTATAAATGTACCTTTGCAGAAAAGCTGCATACCACGCCAAAGACCTATCAGATTAGCATTGCAGAAAAAATGCAAACCTAGCCTTATCCTATCAATGTGCACTTCCGTTGTACACATGTCCTGTTCATGAAAAAAACACATTTAATATGTTACAACTACTATTCCCCAAAATTGAATTCAACACACACATGTCCTGACAAGTCAAAAGCCTGCAAAGACATATCCATTCAGCTTTGCAGAAAAGCCGACACCTACAAGTAGACCCGCTTTGATCTGCATTTGTACACATGTCCTTTCAATTCAGTAGACATATTTCATAACTTTACACGCAAGATTCCACATAATTGAATGAAATACAAACATCCTGCCAATTCGAAAGTAGTTTCACAAAAGTAGTTTGGGCAAAATAATTCAGTTAACTGTATTAAACATTAGTGGAGCACCACAACAAAGTTTATCTATCCATCTTTATTTAAAAATAAAATACAGGAAAACAAAGCAAACAATGAAGTAAAATGTAGACTTCATATATGTGAACTTCTTCTCCAAAGTTCGAGCTTCACGGTGAACACCTTCAAGTCGCAACTCCAGTTCGACAATTTTGTTTGATTCAATTTCCAACTTCTTCACCAACACATTCTTCTCATCTTCCAATGCACGTATCTCTGCACATTTTAACTGAAGCCTATCGGAGAGCAGTTGCTCCATCTCATTTTTGAACTTTAATTGCTCGTGGAGCCTTCCCTTTTCAGCCTTCAACCTCTGAAGACAATTTTTTCCGTACGGCGGCATTTCAGGATCAAGCCATTCAAATTTGTCACAAGGCGGGTCATCCGTCTGTCATAAATGAGCATAAGACGGAGGCAAAAACCGAATGTGAAATTCTAACTAACCAAATATATCATTTACTATAGTCAACGAAAATCAATATCATGTAGTTAACATTCGACAACGTGTTATAAAAAATATACCTTCCGACGAGGACATCTGATGAACCTTCGACCCGGGTTGTCATCCGTATTTGATGTCAACACGACGCATTCCTCGTGATGATGGCACAACCTGACCTCCATCGGCCTACTGTCGGAGGATCTGTAATACCGGTTGCTTGAACTCGCGTTTGAACGCTGTGACATGGTTATTTCCTTGGTAAACCCTAAAGTATTAGGATAGCAGGCTCTCAATTCAACAACCTGATTTAAAATAAAAAAGTTCGGTTGTTAAAAGTTGTTCAATTCAACAGCCTCTTATCCTATCCATCCAAGCAAACGACGCCTTAATTTACATGGTTTTATTACAGCCCATATGATCACCTTATAGAAACAAACCAATGCATTTGGCTCTCAGTGGAGGAACACAACCAATCTACAGTAAAGCCCATTAAACGCAAAGTACTTGCTAAATATGTGAACAGGTTTCTAAATATGTGATCAGTTTTCAACAGTTTTCAGTGGAGCAACCTACAAAGTACTTGCTATATTTCTAAATATGTGAACAGTTTTCAACATTACAGAATGGTATAGTAATGTATAAAAATGGACTGCATTCTTCGTTTGCTTCCTTCAACTTCTACCAACAACAAATGGAAAAAAATCTACGAGGGGCACAGTTCCGAATGGAGATCATAACACAGTTCAATTGACAAATCCAATTTCAATTAAAGCCCGGGAATGTGTGGTAATACAACACAAGATACATCGAAAAAGAAACCAAAAAATTACCCATGACTTGTGTTACCTGCGAGGCCGTCGGGTCTGTACCACTTCAACAGTATTTCTCGGAAGCTCGTCGTCCACGGTGGGGGGCAGGTTGTCGCGGCTTATCGGCAAGGCGTTGGTCGTCGCTTCTTCTTGTTACGCGGCGAAATTTGGGCTAGGGAAAAATGACACGCGGCTTATCGGCAAGGCTATGTTCGTCGCTTCTTCCTCTCACGCGGCGAAGTTTGGGCTAGGGAAACTATTCAGATCAGACGATTAAGTTTTTGGGGCATGTTTGAAATCGAGCGTTTGCCCCTAATTTCTGCAGAAACGACCGCGACATTGTTCTGAAACTGGTGGCTGCGGGTCCAAAAATGGCAAAAATCGAAAGTGAAAGGATACTAGCTATCGAAAGATTTTTCAATTTCACAAAGATTTTTCAATTTCACGAACCGTAGGCAAAAATCGAAAGCGACTCCTAATTGAAGGACTAGCTATCGAACGCGACTAGGTCATTCGTTGCCGGAAAAATGGGCGTACCTCTCACTGCATTGCCGAATTAAAGGTTGTCGTCGACGGTCGTAGCTATCGGGGGGACGTCGTCGGCGGTCGAATTGAAGGAGTGGCGGCTCTTCGGCTGGAGTGAAGGTTGCCTTCTCGTCGGTCGCGCAGAGATAGGGCAAAATGAATTCGAGTTTGAAATGGCAAAAAACGATTTATTCAGAGAAGGGCAATCTAGTCTTTGGATTCTATATCATCTCAGTTAATACATCGAAGTAAACACGGGACTAACTTAAGCAAATTCCATCCCGAAATGTAAACGAGGGACTAAAAGTTGACATGGCAAATGGGCTTGATTAATTTGTCTTATCCCATCCTGCAAAGTAAACGACGCCTGTGTGTTTTGGAGTAGCAAAATATAGTTTTTCCATGTGCAGAATTATTGACTATAAGGTCATTGTCGGCCAAGATGTCAGAGGTCATTTTAATGGTCCCAACTATACTGTATAATAATGGTTTTTGTTGTACCTACTCAACTCAAAAGTCCAGATCTAATTATCAAATTCACATTTCACACACACATTGATCTGAGTGAGTAATTCATTTTCTTCTTCACCTCAGAAAAATATTGTTTGCTGCTTTCAGTTCTCATCTTACAGACTTCTTCCTGACTATTCATTTCATCAAGCAGGAGATCCATGGCAGCTTATGCAGATCTGCTTTCTCTTACAAACACCATAAACAAAATCCAGAATCATCCTCGCCCACCCATCTCCCTCGACAAAACAAAAATCGAACCTCTGATAAAAAAAGTTGGTTTCTTGCAAGAATTTCTTGAAAACTATACCATTGAAGATGATGCAGATGATTTGGAGGGGCGTATGGTCGATGTGGCTAACAAAGCAGAAGATATAATTGAGTCCCACATTGCATATCATATTTGGGATGAATATGAAGACCCTTTGTATCAATACATGCAGAAAATGATGTTGGAACCAGAGGAGGCAGAGGAGTCCCAAATTGCCCATCATATCCAGGAGGTTCGTGGTGAAGCTAATGAAGACAACAAAGACTCTTGTTTATATGGAGAGCTACAGAAAGTGATTCACGACTTGGATTCCATCACAAACGTGGTTGCTGCTATTAAAGGCAAGGCTCGGAAAAATATTGCTCCCAAGGATGACGCCACCAAATATGATGTCATGAACGACAACATCCTGGATAAGCTGACCAACAATCCTTATTCAGAAGGGTCGGGGGGTTCCAATGATGTCATGGACAACGTCAGGGATAAGCTGACCAATCAACAATCCGGTCGTTGGATCATTGCAATTGCCGGCATGGGAGGCATCGGTAAGACCACTCTTGCTAAAAATATTTATGAACATCGTGTAATTGTGGGACACTTTGATATGCGAGGATGGACTACAATTTCTCAAGAATATAATTCCAAAAGAGTCCTGTTAGAAGTCCTTCACTGTGTAGGGTGTACAGGGAGTGAGGACAACGGATATGAAGAATTAGGACAAAAATTGTATCAGAGCTTATTCGGCAAGCGGTATCTGATTGTGATGGATGACATTTGGGGTACGGACGCGTGGGAAGAGGTGAAGCGCTTCTTTCCGAATGACAAAGATAATCGCGGAAGCAAGGTACTAATAACAACTAGGTCATCGGAAGTGGCTTTGAAACTGGATGGCCAAGGCTACTTTAAAATGCCTTTTTTGGATAGGGAAGAAAGTTGGAATCTACTGCGAAGGTGCGTGTTTGGGGAAGAACAAGGGTGCCCTCCTCCTCCTCTGGAACTGGAAGAGATTGGAAAGGAGATTGCCAAGAACTGCTGAGGCCTTCCATTGTCGATTGTCGTCATCGGAGGACTTCTAGCAAAGTCTGAACAGACAAGGGAGAAGTGGCAACATATTTTAGAAAATTTAAGCTCGATCGTGAATTTAGAGGATGACGAGCGTTGCTTAAGAATACTAAAATTGAGCTACAATCAACTGCCGGTCCACCTGAAGCCGTGTTTTCTCTACATGGGCATGTTCCGGGAGGATGATGAGATTAGCGTCTCCAGACTCATGAGTCTATGGGTTCATGAAGGATTCGTGAAACCGGTTGCTGGTAAAAGCTTGGAAACAACTGCGAGAGTAGTGTACTTTAATGATCTCGTCCTCAAAAACCTAGTCGTGGTTCGTGGGTGGGGCTGCCGCATCCACGATCTATTGAGGGACCTATGCATAAAGGAAGCCGAGAAATATAAATTCTTCCGCACAACACACAACCACCCTGACCACGACCAAAGCTGGTGTGCCCAACGCCGTATCAGCATTCATCAAGCCGCATCAGAGAGGAAATACACCCTTTCTCTAGATGTTTTAGCAAGCCCACTCCCTAAAGCTGTGCAATCCGCATCACGTGCGCGAACTCTGATATTAGACTTTGATCAAACTTTACCATCTTTTGTTCCTTTTAGATTGTTGAGGGTTCTGCATGGATACAGAATAGGAGGAGAATTTTGTCATATGGTCAACTTGCGCCACCTGAGGTTCAAACCTATTAAACGGCAGGAGCTTGAATTTTCTCCGGAATTTTACCTACTCTGGAATTTACAGACGTTAGAAATATATAATTCTTATCGTAGGGGCGGTTATGCTGCGGTGCTGGACATCTGGCGGATGACCCAACTCAGGTACGTCATGATAGGCAGGTTCCAGCTCACGGATCCTCATCCGAAAGAATTCGAAAATGGTTGGATGGTGTTGGAGAATCTAGAGACGCTACAGGGAGTATGTAACTTGCGGTGGAGTGAAGAAGTGGTTGAGAGAATCCCCAATATCAAGAATCTGGAAATAGAATACGATGAATTATTAACGGCCGCTGATTATGATCTCGACAATCTCTGCCGACTACATAAGCTAGTGTCTCTTCATTTCTGTATTTTTTCTAGGAAAAGTGAGGTGATGATGAGGATCACATTTCCGGTTTCGCTCAGGTGGCTGACTCTTAACGGCACGAGGCTGGGGTGGGAGGAGATGGGGACAACGATACGCTCCTTGCCACATCTCGAAGGCCTCAAGATATGGAGTAATGCGTTCGTGGGGCCCGAATGGGTAACAGCCGATGGCGAATTCCAAAGCCTGAGATACTTGCAAATTAGTAGGTGCTCTGATCTGGAACAGTGGTGGGTGGAGGCCACGCACTTTCCGAGACTCGAGAGCCTGTGCTCTGATCTGGAACAGTGGTGGGTGGAGGCCACGCACTTTCCGAGACTCGAGAGCCTCCAAATATTGTGTCTAGATAAGCTGATTGAGATCCCATTGGGAATTGGATATATAAACACGCTTATGGAGATCGACATGGTTTATTGTTCAGACTCTGCCGTGCTTTCTGCAAAGAAGATATTAGAGAAACAACAGGAATGCTTTGGGGAAGTGGAGCTTCAGATTGAAGTTTCTCTAGGTAACCAACTACCCAACTTGACGAGTAGTCCAAACTTTACGATTGAACGGTGAGGTAAGATGGCTAGGGTCTCAAAGGGTTCGGCTAAGACTCGGAAATGGCTTAAAAAATGACTCGGGATGGAACTAGGGTTCGAAGCCAAATATTTCTCGAGTCGAATAGATATCAATTATCAATCCAAATTAATGGATTGATTACGGCCTTAACTTGACGTAGAAAATTCCAAAGAATAATCTAACATAATTGAGCATTTAGCATATAAAACATAACTCAGAAAATTCTGAAAATTACGGATTTCACTTATAGTCGAGCAGTGAAACCGTTCTTAATAATATTTCTGATTTGGGGCGTTACATACTTACTAAAGTATTTATTTGTTTTATTTGTCAAAGTTAAGTATAGATTTATTTATATTATCAAATCATAAAAAAATATTAAATTCATATTGTAAAAAAAAAATCATATAATTTTATAACAATTCTACTACACTATTTAACAATACTTTTTTTATTATATGAGGGCGGAAATCTAACACGATTTACAATTGTTCCCGCTTTCAGGTTCTTTTGTTAAAGGGATTGAGTGCGCCTTGCTTTCTTCTTTCTTGCTTTTGCTTGAGCTACCTGAGTTGACGGCAGAAGAAGCAATCGGGAGGGAAAGAGTCCAAGCGATTAGCCCCAGACAGACAGTAAGACTCGCTCACTCGGGCGCTACACCCGTCCTTCTTTCGCTACACATTCACTGAAAGCTATCACTTACGCTTCGCTTTAGAAATGTGGTTACTTGAAGCAGCCACATACAGCGTATATAAGAGAACTGCTGCGGTCCCGCAAATTGCATAAAAGAAGAAAGGTCTTTGCGGATCGTACCGTAGAAAGCACTACTTCCGACTTGAATCACCTAGTTGTTTGTCTTTTTTTGGTTATTGGTACGGTGTTCAGTGTACCGTAGTACAAGACCGAAAATCATGCTTTGCATTCCATTCCAATGTGATGTGAGAAAAAGTTCTTGCGAGAGAGAGGCCAGGCCAGATGAAGGTCAAATCCCAAAACCGAACGAGCGTAATCTATGTAATCTATGAAGCGAGTCTAGACATCTAGAGCTCAACCAGCTATGGAAGAGACTGTTTCAGTGAATTTGGGTACAGTGAAAGGAAGTCAAACTGGGTTCTAGTCTTTCTAACGATGAGAAGGCTGAGTGAGTGGCCCTGCTTAATGAGTTCATCGATGTTGTCCCTTAGTCTTATGATGATATGCCGGGAATGGGTCCTTAGATTGTGCATCATTGCATTCCTACCTTTCCTGGCCTGATTAGGGGGAATAGGTTGCACATGAAGGAGAATAAGCGCTCTTTGAAAGAACGACGTATCCGCTCTTCTTGTTACAGAATCGGTTGTTGTGCTAGAATCAGCCGTTACAGACTCCGTTGATATTGAATCCACTGCTGCTGTTACAGAAGGAGCTGCTCAAGAATGCCCTTTTTTGAGGTGCAGATGAGGTGGAAGAATCGGTTGTGCACAATTCGACATGAATGGGTAGGTATATAGGTATAATAGTAAAAGAAGACAAGCACATTAATTGATGCCCTCGAATCAGCTCTTAGGGCGGGAAGGAAGGACCAACGTCGTCGAGAGATAGGATTCATACCCAACAAGAAATAGGATAAATGGGCCAAACGACGTGATCTTTATCTCAACCCCTGCCGTACCTCCTCCCCTATCTCGGCGAAGAAAGCTCGCTTCTGCCATTTCACCATGAAGAGGGGAAGTATCTTCCACTGATCCGACAGCCAAACGAAAAGGCATGGCTGATAAGAAATAGCCGGAACGAAAGAGAACGGCCCAACTCCAGCCTCCGATCCTCCCATCTTGCTTTACAGACCGACCGCCGGAACTGATCTTTATTATGTTATATTGCCGGGTCGGCTACTGCATCTCTCTTATCACGGAATCTTCAACTACGTTGATACACGAGTTGAACAAAGAGAGGTAGGCAAAGGGAGAAGCAGCCAACCAACGCCCTGGGTAGTCAACCATATCAGGTTCAAATCTCCCGTACTTATCTTCCTTTCCCTCCTTATCTTGTATCGTATGAAGCACTAGACTCAGTCCGCGGGAACTAGCTTTACGGGTTGCTTTTCGATTTGGCATTCGATATTCTTCATTCTCTGTCTATCATCGCCTCTCTCTTACACCGAGGGCTTGGTTTACACTCGTGGATGGGAGTTGACTGATTGGAGTCAGTTTCACCCTTTCTAGTAGTTGGAGTTTGTGGAACAAGTTGTAGAGATCCCATCGTTTCTAGTATTTTTGGAGAATCCACACCAGTAATAAATAGCTTTTAGTTGTTGGTGGAAGTGACCTAGACATATTTCTATTTATAGGTCCTTGCCCTTTTCTTCCGCTAGGTAAGTTGGGAAGTCCTTAATAAGGCAGGGGAAGTCGAGTCCCTTATCTTCGACAAGCCTCGATCTGCGCTTTTGCTTTAAAGAAAGAATCGCTAAAGACAGATTCTTTTTATCGGTTGAGTAAACAAAGTCAGATTTTTTTTTTAATATTGGTCGAGTAGTGAGTTCCACTTTCAGCGCTGTGGAGATAATATTTTAATTATTTTACAAGCTAGCTCTAACATGCTCATATTTAATATTTTAAAAGATGTAGAAAAAAAAAACTTATAATAGCTCTATTGTTTTTTAGACTTAAACGTTGATTAAAAGAGGTAAAAATTTCTAATTTTTTAGACTTAAACGTTGATTAACATCATAGATTGAGAGTTTATATTTAGTTAAATTTTTAATTGTAATTAAAAAATAATTTTTGCTATATTTTAGAATATCTTAAAATTCATTATAAAAAAAAAAGAAAAAAAACTACAATGAAAAAAGCAAGTCAGCTGTATATCGATTTGTTGTACTCCTCAAATTACATTCACAATTTGGCTACAAGGAAAGGAAATTCATTGATTAAAATATTATTTTGACAGTAGTCTTAATGTACAAGAGACTTTAAGACTCCACTTAAATATTATAAGGAAACTCATTGATTAAAATATTATTTTGTCAGTAGTCTTAATGTACAAGAGACTTTAAGACTCCACTTAAATATTATAAAACTTTTATTGAACATTGTACAATTTTCTTGCGTATTATAAACGTTTATTGAATATTGCATCTTATAATATAATATTCTCCAAATAAATATATCTCATGTTTCGCACGGGTCACGTACTATATATATTCCGCACATTTTTCTTTATTCATGTATATAATTATAAGCCTGGATAAATAGCCTTAAAATTGTGCATCCCGTGCATCGCACGGACTCTGTACTAGTTAAGGTTAACATTGTCAAGCACACTTTCTAATTTCACACATTCTTTCTAACACGATGACTCAGCATTTTGATAATTATTTGACAAAAATTTTGAGCTTTTCATAAACTTGGTAAAATCCCACCCTTTACATTTATCCAAGAAAATATTTGAGAATTTATTTAAATATAGTAGAATCATTTGATGATTACAACTAAAATTTAAAAATTATCAATAATAATGTCCTGAAAAGTAAAATATTATGTTCATGAGATTTTTTGTTGAGTTCTTGCAATTTTAATATTTTGTAGTTTTATTCTGAATCGATCAAAAAAATATTTATTATGTGGTTATAGATATTGTAACTGAGAAATTATTGAATAAATACCAATTGTATAAATTTGATGATATAAATAAAAATTAAATGAATCAACAAAAAATAACATCATCCATATAATTATTAGAATTTGTGATTTATTTTTCTAATATACTCTTTTACCTTATTAATAAATGAATAAATCCACATACACAAATTGTATGCATGTTGAATGGATGCACTGTGCAAATGAAAGTTTTATTTTTTTAATATTCAATTAATGTAAATTTAATATTAATCTACTGATTGACATGTGTTCAAAAATTTAACACATAAAAATAATTTTACTCGATCTCACATTTTTTTGACCTAAAATCATAATAAAAATATAAATTTATCATTTACAACCTATAAAATATTAGCCGTCCTACACCCCTTCTTCCTCGCAACCCTCCCCACTCTACTTCAAGAAGAGGAAAAAACAAAAATGGCGGATAATGAAACGAACGCAGAGAAATCAGCCAAATTCGAATATTTCTTATGCCCCCTGCCAAAAGAGATGAAGATCGAGATTCTATCTCGAATGCCCTTGAAGTCGGTGGCTCAATCCAGAGCCGTTTGTCGGGCGTGGAACTTGACTCTCGGCGACCCGTCTCTCCTCGATATGCTCATTTCCTGCAAATTCGCTCTTAATCGGACATGGGTTTTTGTGGGCGTTGACTATATCTACAATTCCGTATTCTTCATCGAACTTTACGATGATGCCGGCGAGGAAGAAGACAATAAGGCGGACTGCATATTTCGAGAGATCGATTTGCCCTTTTCCGATGATTGCAGCCCCAGCAGCTTTGGGATAGTCGGCTCTTGCAACGGCCTTCTGTGCTTAGCCTTTTCGTCCTATCCCCGACCAAGAATCTACCTTTTCAATCCCTTTACGAAGACCTTCAAATTGCTGCCAAAGAATCATCTGATCAGTGAGGTGGATTGTCGAGATGAATCCTACGAATCCGTGTTTGGGTTCGGATACAATCCTTCCGCCCAGGACTATACTGTGGTGAGTTTGGATTATGTGAAAAATTCTGAACAGGAGGAGAAATCGAATGCGTATGTGTATACTTTAAAGAGTAACACATGGAAAAGGGCCAAGAATTTGCCGGTCCATAGGTTTGGGTCAATATTCGACTTGGGAGGGGTTTTGGCGAGCGGGAGGCTGCACTGGTTGAGGGACGATAAGTCGGGAATTGATTCGTTCGATTTGGTGGACAATTTTTTCCGGGAGGTCGAGATGGATTTGCCCACGATAGTTAAAAACTCGGTCCATCCGCTGTCTAGGCGGCATTTTCTCCAAATTGCAGTTTTAGGGGGATACCTATCGCTTGCAGTGAACGATTGCCGCCAGATTGTGATTTGGGGTATGAGAGAGTATGGGGTGAAAGAGTCTTGGGAGAGGATGTATACTCTCGGACAGTCGTCTTACGAGAGGTTTACTTTTTCTGGGGGCTTGAATTCTATTCGTGTGTTGGGTCTCAGGAAAAATGGGGATATTCTTCTGGCAATCTACTTAGGCAGGTTGGTTAGCTATAATCCACGCAATGGGGCGGCCAGGTTTTTTGATGTGGGTGAGTTTGAATTTGCGGAAGATTGTGTTCGTGTTAGTGATCTTATTACTCCAAGTGCCTTGTGCTTTTGACTGTTCCATTGAAGTCTGTTGGTTGTGTCTTTGATTTCGTAAGTCAGTATATTAGAACAATCTATAACTTTTATCTCGCGTTAATTGAACAGTTCTAACTTGTTCGTTTTATTATAGTTGAAATTAGAACAATTTATCACTTTTATCTCAGCGTCAATTGAGCAATTCTAAGTTGTTCGTTTTATTATAGTTGAAACATGATTGTTTGTGTAGCGTGTCATGTAGCTGCTGTGAGCAATTTGTGGACGTTATGAATCACTTTTGTTCCTTGGTGCCGATAATTCTGATAGCTGAAGTGAAAACAGGGGATCTTGTTTGCATCAAAATGGATATCTTGAATATCGAATGAGAATCAAGTATTTTAATGATATATCAGGGCTAGGTAGACTCACATTGGTGAATGTAGCAGTCGGCATATTTGATGCTATTATTTCTGTGAACTTTCTTCTCCAGTTTTAAATATTCTTTCTTGTGATGCATGTGTTTAACTCTGTATTTGGTTATTCTTGGAACACCAGTAATTGGTGTTACTTTCTTTTTAAGCTGTGAGATTTTTAAACTTCTCTTGGCTTAGCATATCTACCTTTTCAATAGGGTGTCAGACCAACTAAACAACATCAAAACATGCACGAACAATTAACGTCTAAACAACTTCAAAATACCTTAAAAAACGTAAAAGGAAATATCATAGAGAAGTTATCTAAATTTAACATTAATGAGATCTTGAAGGAAAAAAAGAACAAAATAAAAAATTAAAATTGAACACATAACAT